GTCCCTAACCAGGTAGTTTACACCTACCAGCATGGCTCAGTTCACTTATCAGTGACTTCATGGATTTGTTCTATGTTTTGGTCTGGCCGCCCCTACCTATCTTCCAACCTACTCCTACCCCATTGAACATCGCACGTGCCAAACAACCTCCAATCACCTAATATTAAGCATAGTGGACAGGATTTTGAATCACTGAGACTGGTGGTTACGTCATAACTTGATTGATCGAGTTCGATAAGCACTAGAACTAGACAAGCATAGAATTCGTTAGAACCCAGTGATCAACCAATGTACGTTTAAATATTCCTTTTCATGACTTACCTCAAAGGTAGGTATGACTTTTTGTTTTGTGAAGTCTACGAACGACCAGACAATAAGAACTTTATCGCGCCCACATCTGAAAACACACGATAGAGATAAATTTTGTTTCTTACGTAACTAATTCATTTTTTCCAGCATTAAAGTCCAAACTTGTAACAATGCTTTGATGACCTTCAAGAGAAGAGACATGTTTTCCAGTCTCAGTGTCCCACACAGCTACAAAGTGATCACCCACTGACGATGAGAAAAGGTAAGGTAATGTCGGATGGAATTTCAATAGTCTGTAATGGGAGCGAAATCCAGGAAATGTTTAATAAAATACTTCATAATAATAGAAGAGAATTCATGGATCAAAAATAAAATAATAAACGTGGATATTTCCTTTGATGAAACTGATCCGAAAATAGGAATCAAGAAATTAAAATTTTCACCAGTGTAGGATATTATCTCGACTTCTGTAATACAGCCACATACTACTAAGTACGCTTTCATATTGTGGGAAATATTTGTCAGATACACAATTGATATTATTCCTGGTGTTCAGACAGAAGCAGATAGTTTTCTCAGGAAGTCGATCCCCGAACCTTTGAACTAGAGCTCTAACCCACAAGGCAGTGGAGTAAAGTCACAAGATACAGTCCCATAGTAGCTGCTGCCCAACAATAGATTCATACGTCATTTGTTCCTTCAGGATTCTGGAGCCCATGTGCACCATCGGTTTAGAATCAGGCTGTATACACATGACCATTTGAGAGCATTTCCAGAGGGAAAGCAGACTCTCACCACCCTCGGCCGTACCATGGCATTTGAGGGATACTATACTTCACACGGCACATTGAAAGAAAACTAACCAAATGGAATCTCAATATACAAATAGAAACATCTTATCAGTGTATTAAGGAAATAAATCAAAGGCCACCTAACCAAACAGTGTGGGATTTCACAACCGCAAAGCATAACAACGGATGGTGGTTTTGCAAGTGGAGAGAATGAATAGATGTAAACTACGGTTTAGCCAATCATATCCGAAGTTCGTTTATTTTTATTAGAGTTCTGTCATCAATGTTGTACTTTTCTGGTGTAAGCAAACGTGACCATATGGCATGAGAAACATTCGTTTGAAATTGTCAGTGATTTTACACCTAACATAGTATCACTAAGTGATGTTGTCATTTTATTTGGCTAAATTGAAAAATTCAAGCCAACCAGCATAAAAATGGTCAAATCCACATTTTTGAGTACATCAATATAATAGTTCTTCAAAATACGAGTTTATAAATAGATATTTCATTCTTACTTCAGTACAAGAATTCATCCAGAGTACTGTCACTTACTAACTATGTCAAGTCCAAGAACATTAGAATTGCACTTTGATGACCTTTTGAGTTCGGACTTTCAGTGCTGGCTATTCGAAAGATCAAAACACATCAGACGATACGATTTAATGATGCAGCGCACAACTCCGTAACCTACTTTACCCAATGCCTATATAGTAAATAGTTACGATGCAAAAAAATGAAACACATATATACCACTAGCCACCACTTTTTAAAATGTCAGGTACTTGGGATTTGTCAAGAATGTCATAATAGCCACCACGTATGATAGGAATACTGGACTCTAAAAAGTCTGAGATGAGAAAGAATGTAAGAACTGTTCGATTAGTTTAAACCAAATAGGATGTCAGATTAACTGTAAAAGTCCTTTGCTAACAGATGAAAATATTTAAACTAGAAATACATGTTTACTTGAATCGTCTCTTTAGTAAGCCAAGAACCATCAGATAGTCCAGCTGAGCTGCTACTGTGGACGTATATTGTTGGAAATTTTTTAGTGTTTATCTCTACGTGTAGCAATACAGTAGTTTGAATTGTATAAACTTAAAACAGTTCACATACGTTATCATTCCCTGGTGCAGTCGACAGCTTTTTGAGAAGCCTTCCTTCGAACCAATATGCCATAATCTAACAATCATATCTCCTGAACCGGTAGCTAATCGTGTTGAAGTTTTGTTAAGCGCCATTTTCTGCACGATTCTTTGGTGACAAGACTAGGCAGCAAATCTGAGTTCCAAATGAACTACTTACCATCCATACTTTTGTAGGCCTTAGAGAAAGGCTATCAAGACGTTTTAAAAGCAAGTTCTTAGTAGCAATAAATATCTCCTACAAAATAGGAAACTAAATATGTGTTTACCGATCCGGCTTCATCGACAACGAAAGATGTCATAACCTCATCATCCTGAAATCAAGACAAAAACGTCAAACACTTTACCTGAATTCTGTTGACCAAAGTGAACGAATTTTCATCGAGTACATTTATACACAGTGAGTCGTCAACATCTCTTCCACAATAAATTTTACCTGACTTAGTGTGCTGCGTATTTCAATAATTATGCAATGCAATTCACTTACGAAGATTGGATATTGAGAGTTAAAGCAAGGCTGAAATTTATCAGCTAGTTTGAACCTTCATAAGAGACTTATTAAAAAGTTTGAAGCCTACTTTAGCTTAGTAGCCATGTGACTAAAGTCAATAAGAGCGCCGGCATTGAGGTGAAGTCAAGGTCTCTAGGACTCAGAATAATGTCCTATTATTCATGACTAACAACTTTTTTGATTATCTTAGAGACTGGCCAGTTCTTTTGCTTCAGATCAACTCTGTCTACCGGAACTTATGACAAGTTTAATATTGCACTTCTACTGATAAAAAATTTCAGGTTTCGAACAAATTCAAATGGTGTTTAGAAGCAATTGATCACCTATTCCTTCACGTAAAGACCTAGGTACATGAAATAAGTAAAATTAACAAAGGCGCTGGCACACTGGTATAAAATAGTATTCCGAGTTCTTGGGGATGTATTGAGTCTCCTCTTGAAGGATATAAATGGTGTTGTTTGGACCACTTTGGTCTGTGGTGGAGTCCAAGTATTTAATGCACTCAGATAGTAGGCGTATCTACAATCAATGTCAAAATGTCCTGTCTCTATTTTTTTAAGCAGAATTCATAAGGTTTGTTTCGGAATTTACTTCTGTAAGTCTTTTAAATGATAACTAGGAGTGTTTAGGATACTTTAATTCATTAGCAGCAGCCTCTGTCGCAGTAGACATCATGATGTACTAGAGGAAAGGCGATATGCTGAAATGCAATACCACCAACTCAGTCACACGTGATGGAGAGGCTGATGACGAGGTGGAATCTTTCACATACCGGGCAGCATCATCGGTTAACAAGGAGGATCTGATACAGATGTGGAAGCACGAACTGACAGAGTACGTGCTCGTATTTTCGGGAGCGCTTCAAAGAACTTGAAACTGAGAGGCACAACAGCTTTAGACAGTGCAATATCTGAGCATTTAATTGATACCGAGCATACTTCTGACATCCGACAAGCCTTCGAAATTATTAACAGATAAAAGACTCAGCTCCTCTCCGGTTTACCGAAACAATAGCAATAAAAATGCCTAAAGCTGATTCATGTATCCAGAAGGTTGTAATAATAAACTTATCTCCATCTTGGTAAATTAATTTTGTCATTATCACTTGCAACATGGAATCGCTTTACATAAGAATTACTGCTAGAATAATTCGAATGATATTAAAGTAAAAATTGAAAAACTGTTTAAGCTGAATGACCACAACTGAGTTGACATCAACAAATGGTGGGATTTTTCGAAGTACACTTTGATTCAGTCCATCGATTAACGTATTTAACTTTAGTGGTTACGGAACAAACACTTCACATTTTCCCCGTTGATAATTATCCTAACAGCAAGCTCATCAACACCAAACTAATTCCTTGGAGCAGATAATTTGTAGCAGCAAATAAATCCCAAAGATCCATAGCTCTGTAAGTAATCGACATTCATTGCTGACCGCATTAGCTCCACTGGACTCACCAAGATGAAGGCGCTCGGTCACGAATCCCCACCATATCACGAGTGTGTATGCCGTGCTACACATCCCTTTCGACTACTGTCCAGTTTAGATCAAACATCCCTTCGACATACCGATAGCCGTCCAGTTACATCTCCGGACCCCTTCATCTCTGACTTCTGACTTGACTGGTTTGGCATACTTCGATTAAAAAGGTGTTACTGGTTAGGCGTTATCAAACTCAGAATACTTGTGACAGCTTTAGATTACTCCACGACGATACGGGAGAATGATTATCTCGCAAGGCATTAAGCAGTGAATATGAGTTAAAAATCAAATAAGATGGATCAATCTATCAGGCTTATTTGATCTAGTCTTCGGGTTTTTATAGATGTGTGAAAGGAAGGGGATAACATGAACTGAATATACTACACCGAAGTACTTCAATAGTATACAGGTTCTTCACTCCAGTTGCTAGGCTATCGTCCGTAAATTTATAATGTAATAACTCCTGATCTGGAATATCTCAACCAGCCGACAGCAAGCTAAGTGTTTTCCACAGTCAACTGTGCATTGAGGGTTTCGAAGCCAAACAGATCTTGATGCTCCAGAACCCGTATATATTTACCGGTACATAAAGAACCTAACAGTGTACTAAAAAGATGAACAAATCTACGTTGATTTTCTCTTGATATCCTCTTCAAGTATTCGCTTGTTAAAAATTGACTATCGTTTAACTGTAAAAATTATGTAGCCATACTTGCACGCAATGGTGGTAACAAGGTAGAAAATATCGATCTCTGACTAATATTCCTGCTCTCTTCGATGGTCAAGATCATTTAAAGAGTTATTAGTGTATTTGTTCTGCCCCGTCTTCCTGATAACTTTATTCTATTCTTATTGCCATATGGCTTTCTTCTTGGCAGACTTTGTAGTATAAGTTTACCAGCCGTCTAGGAATGCATATCGACATAATACGGATCAGCCTTGTAGATCCCTCCAGAGCATTAGATTGAGTTAATCGTCGAGCTCTTCCGGAAGCTGAATCTAGCCAGAACTATTGAGTGTTTGATGAAGTTGATTTAAGGTTAATTATGGGAGATACATGTAGGGCCAGCAAAATGTTGCTGAGACCCAGACAAATTATCCGATAGTCAAATCACTGCATATCGAACAGTTCATCGAGTCCCGTCAGAGTCAAGGAAAATAAAAATATATCAATCATTCGCACATATAGACAAGGGCACGCAGCAGTGGTCATTTACTTTTTCTTATGCCTACTATAATTATTACGTTACTGTAACAACGTTATGTGTTACACAGTCATCAAAGTACCAATAGTGTCTGGATACAATGGAAGGATAATCCATGTTAAGTATCAAGCATGATGTGTGATTTAGAAGTGAGCTGAAAGGCCAGGTACTTCTCGTATAACCGGAGTAGGCACTAAATCATCCAAGTGGATCACGTACTTGGTAATATTGTAGTGGCATTGAACAATAACCGCACAATCCACAAAGCTGTGAACACGAGACTACTCAGAAAATAGATATTCAATATTTAACGCGGATAAATACCTAACAATGGAGAAGGCGCGAACAATGAATGGAATGGACGGGAGTTGATCGAGTGGCATGGCTCGGCCATGCAGGCGTGGTCCCTGCTGGATGTTATCCTATATCTCATTCATATTAAATATATTGTTCTTTCTCTAGCCTAACCTCGTTCTACATTATGTATTGGTAATTGATACGCTACAGTGAGTTGGTGTAGTCGATGGTGTGACTTCCACGTAAGATCTTATAGATTAGGCAGTTATATCATGACAAATCTACAAGTTTAGGATTAGGTCTATTATAAGAGCAGTAATAATATCGTAGTAGACTATAATTCTACATTGGTGAGCCCAACTAAAGAAATGCAACCTATTATTATTAATCCTTATTTCAACTTCAACTTTCTCGATCGATTTTATATTTATGTTAACACTGTATTCTAATGGTCCTCTGATTAATGCTCACATGCATTATCGTAATGTTATATTGATTAGTACTCATGACAAACTAGCTCAATCGATAATAAAAACTGGTCGTCTATATAAACTAATTAGCTTTGATGGTTTGTTAACAAGCTGTAATAGCATTTACATGCTTCAGCGACATAGTCTTGTTTAAACATCAAGCTCTAGCAAATATGACCTGTAAATAGCGTAAATATACATTGACTAACAATGCGAGCAAGGACTAAATAGTTCTTTGGATCTAATTCAAAAGGACAGTGGTATTTTTCCTCGCTGAGTAAATTTCATTGTTTTGATCGTTTATTACGTATCAAGACTACTGTTTTTCACTTTAATTGAATTTATTTCAGTTAAAGTATTCGACTAAAGTATCGTTTTTACTGTTTTGTCGTTGGTACTCTTTAGTACCACTTTTTCAACTGTATCTGTTAGTACTTTTGGTCTTAGCAATCTACAGCTCTTCACTTTTTTGGTCATTGATAATTTTTTTGTTTCTGGGTATCATCGCATATTGAAAAAACCCCTCCTAAATGACCGGACAGTGTAAAAAAAGCAGTTGCCAACGTCCGGGTTGTCGTTATCCTGTTGAAAGCGGCATGCAGTGCGACGAGTGCAAAGGCTGGTACCACGAAGTTTGCACGAACTTAACGCCTGCTGCTTTCAAACGGTTCAGTAAGAAGGGTTGTGTGTGGCTTTGTCAACAGTGCTGCTCGGATGCAAACAGCTTGTTAACCGAGGCTATCTCACTGGTTGATGCTGCCAAGAAGTGTTTCAACAAGCATAGTCGGAACGCGTCAAACAGCACTCGATCTGTTGACACGCAAATCAATGTGAAGGAAACTAAGGTGAGTCCGGTGATAGATGACTCACGCCCGTCGAAGAAGGAAAAGCAGTATCCAAAGGGGTCTGCCTTAAAAAAAAGCTCAAGAAAAGCAGGGTCTTCTGTTCCCCGTCTCCCAGATGGGATCCAACAGGAAACACCTAGGGGCCGCAATCGCAAGGCTCGATCGGTTTCGACTGGTAAACATAACACGACCCCTCAGGTCGTCGACAACCCCCCAAAACCCAACACTAGTTTTGACGCAACTGCTACTGCTTCTACCAGCAGCGTTAACGAATGGGTAAAGGTTGTAAGGAAGAAAAGTATTGACATAAAAGGGAAACCTGCCCCCGTAAAAGTGGTTGAAAAATCGAAAGCTGATCATAGCGACAGATCAGCTATTTTTCATAGAATTAAGGAGAGCGATAGCTCTGAACCTAAAGCTCGTTTTGAGCATGACATTGTACTGATTAGGCAGCTGCTTAATCAACTCATGCCTCAAAATATGACTGGGGTCACCTTGCTAAAGGTGTATAGACTAGGGAGTCTAACGGACTCGAAACCAAATCATTCCAGACTGCTTAAAGTAGTATTCGGCTCTTCAAACGAACGTGACCTAATTTTACAAAATGGACACAAATTAAAGGGTTCGGGAGTCTTTATCCGAAAGGACCTACCGTTGGCAGACCGTGTTAAAAGACGGGAAGCCGAGAAAGAACTACAACATAGGTTAGACGCTGGCGAAAAGGACCTGAAAATTGTAAATTTTCGGGTTGTAAGACTTCGACAGAGAATGATGCCGAAGCCACTCTGGGTGAAGCACGAAGGCACCTAAACAGGCTTCGGATCTG